ACTAAGTTGGTTTTAAATATATCTTATTTAAAGTAAATTTTCCAGGCAAATTTGCCTGGAAATGATCTACAGATTAAAGGATAACATTTAGTATCATTATTGTTTTACAAACCAGCTTCAATAAATTAACTTACCAAAGATACATTTAAATCATTACTTTTTGAAGAGCCAAGCTTAACAGAATATTCACTATGAGACCAACTGGTCTTAAAATATTAAATTCATTTGTTATTATACAATCTTATTAAACCAAATTTAGCTAATACTACTAACCTGTGATAGATTTAAATCAATATTTCTGGGTGGGTTGTTTGTGATATAATAATCAGGATAGATCTTTTAGTTCTAGTAAAGATTAAATTAGTTTAGTGCTCAATCTATTTCTTACTAGAAGCTTCAACTAACTAACCTGAGGTGAATTTAAATTAATATTCTTTGAAGAATCTATTGTAGTATAATATTCATTAGGAGACCAACGGGTCTTTCAAGATATACAATAAATGTTACAGCTGATGCTAAATTTGGCTGATACTGAATATTGGCCTACTTTGATATAAAATTTTACAATTTTTTTGGTGTATATTTTGTTAGCTTTTGTGTAATAGTTAGACTAGAATTTAGAGTTAGAATTGAATAAAAGAGTATATGTAAGTTTTAGTAGATATAATAGATCCAAATTAAGACTTTTAAATTTAGTATCAGCCAGATTTAGTATTAGCTGTGACAATAAATATTAAATAAGCATAATATATTACCTAGTTCTTACTAACTAATCCAATTAGCTTTTTAACTAACCTGGGATGAATTTAAATTAACACTTTCGTTTGGGAACCAGCAGGTCTTTCAAGATATAAGTTAGTTTTACAGTAAGCATTAAATTAGTATAGTGAAAACCTATTTCTTACTAATGAATCTAATTAACTTTAACTAACCTGGAGCGAATTTAAATTAACGCTTTCTGTAAGGCCAATTGCAGAGAAATATTCATTGAGAACCGACAGGTCTTTTAAAATACAAGTTAGTTTAATGTCTATAAGTATAGAATTAATTTCGACCAACACTTCACCAACCTAAAACAGGATTTGAGTTAGTATTTTCAGAAAAACCAAAAGAACCAAATATGACATAACAAGTAATAAAGAGTCAACGGACCTTAAAATTCTCAAGAATAAAAAAAATAAAACAACCTTGTTATCATTCATCTCTTCAAAAAATATTAGAATAGATAAAAAAAAATCTGTAATACAAGTTTTGTATTACTGTTACCTTTTATAGTAAGATTAATGATCATATTATTAACTTTAATTGGTTAACACTAACCAGTGGCATAAAATATAATAATTCTTTAAAATATTTCAAATATTTTACTGAAATTTTTTTGAAAATTGTATTTTTCAAAATATTTCAGAAATTATTGCACTTATTTTTGAAATTTTTTTATATCAAATTTCTAATATTTATTAATATTTATAATCAAATTTTGATTAATTAAATTTTTTACAAGGGATATACTTGTTCAAAATCAATAATTATCTAATTACAGGAGCTGGATATCAATCCAAATATTGTAAACTATATACAACAAGCTTTCTACTTCGCTCTCCTCTGCTCCAGCCTAATTAATTGTCTGAAATAAAGTGACAGACCATTTATTTCT